ATAGATCATAAGTAATGGTGATAATGGCCCTTTCAGATGTCAAGACATAACAATGCAGGGAAAACTAGTTTTATCTTCTTTTTCAAATATGATGGAGTGATCGGACACTTAAAGCTAAAAATAAAGTCCACTTAACTTATATAATTACTCGCAGTCAGCAGATAAGTTTTGAGAATTATTTCGATTCAGTTTGTTGAAAACTTTGTTTGAAATTGCTTTAGTAAAGTTTATTATTATATTAACATAATATACGATTGTGACTATGACTTAATATTTTGAAAATATAATTTGTGTTGGATGGTTAGTTTGAATGTGGTTATTGTCAAGCAGCGACTACGTTATAATTTATATTTTGACCGAAAAATAATTACGTTACAAAAAACTCAATACAACAAAGTCGGGGCGTAGTTGATGGGAAGAATTGGACTTATATTAAAACCCTTTCAAGTAACGCTTCTATGCATATCAGCTACAGATGGTAGAAATACAAAAATCGATAAAAACTATAATGTACTTAGAATTATATATTAAGTTTTTGGGAAGATATGATCAGGTTTGACGTCTTTCTAATAATAATTTGTTGCCGTTGTTGTATTTTTATATCGTAACTGACAATATATTGAAAATATGCTTAAATACTTTATGACTATTGATTTACTCACAATTGGGTACCTATAAATTTACGACTGTCAAAGTGTAATTTTCCACTGTATAGCCCCATTCTAGATCTATCTTCAGATTAATTTTCAGACTTTAAGTTTTTAAACTTTGCTCGAAAAAGAGAAATAAAGAAAAAGTTCCACCCCTCTAAGGGAAATGGGTAATGATATTTTTTTAGGTTGTTAACGTTTGTCGATAGTGTTTTATCTTAAGAGAAATCTATACCAAATTGAAAGTAATTGGACTATTTTTAAAAAAGTTATAGCGCGTTGTAATTTTTAGTTGAAAAATATTATATAAAATGTTAAATGTTTTTCTTGAGTTTCAAACTTATAGCCCATTAATGTATTAGTAGTAATAAAGTAAAATTCCTGATCTGTAGGCTTGCTACATGAAAAATTCCAGACACAAAAAAACTACATCGTTGTAACATAAAAAATACCTTCTCAGCTACTTATTGAAGCTAAAAATACTAACCATATTGAAGGCTTATATATAGTTAAAAAGCAATAAATATTATATTGGAAAGAGGTTTAATATTAGTGTACCACCAAAACATAACCGAAACAAAGTAAAGCAATGCAAACAGTATTTATAACTTATTTTAAAAAGTTCTAATCATAGTTAGGTTGATACATTTAGAATACAATAACAATTATTTATTACAGAAATAACAAAGTATAAGTTATATCTTTATATTTAAATTACCTAATTATTATATCCTTGAAATATATGTATTCTATTTATATATATATATATATCCTTGAAACGAATAGTATAAAATAATCCATCGAGTCGATTATTCAATATCATTTGACAGGTTAAAAGGACTTGACAACAATAATTTTCTCAAGTGCTAAAATCTAGTGTCACTGGCTTGGAGGTGGTCACCTTCAAAAGTGACAATAAATTTAAGTGATAAATCAATATTAATATTAAAAAAAAAGGTTTGATGTGAGTCTATAGTTTTTTTTAATAAATCACCGAAAATGTTAAAACTTTTTTTGGTACGATTATTTTATATCTCTATAAATTACCCGTCAGACTTGTTTTAGCTATTGTCAATGGTTAAATAATGATAGAGGTTTTTGTATGCTACCCGAATATTCACATGGAGTAGTTTTCAAATAAAAGTGAGCAATTTATTATCTTCTGCTTAACCTTGACTATCTCCTAACATGTAAAATAACCATTACAACAACACATCTTTTTTTTTTTTACCATTAATTAGTTTTTTTTTTATTTAAGGTTTTTCTATTAATATTCTTATAAATACTTAAATTGAATACAAATAATTCGATTATATGTTTCTCTATTTATAAAACGGGTTTTCTCTGTAATTTTACAGAAAAAATTAACAACATTAAATCATTCAGTTTTAAAGGCTTTTACTGTACATTTTTTTGTGAATCTATTCAATATGAAATAACCTAAACTTAAATTACACACTGAAATAATAGCGTGTTGTTTGCCATTACAAGCGATCTGTCTTTTACCAACAGGCAGCACCATACTTTCTGCCTTTAGAGAGAAACGCACTTCATTATGGATGTCGATCGTTTGATGGATAGCCAATAGGTACATAAAATATCATTAATCTGATCATGAGTGTTATACTCCGATAACTTAAAATATGCAGTTAAACGTATCATATTATATTTAACCTATTGCACAGTTATGAATTTAATTTATTTTGTATAATGCAATATTTTGTACTGAGTCATATTATATTGTGTATATGTTAACATTTATCATTAGTCAGTAGACCAAGTAGAAGATCCGAAAGTAAGTCGAACTTCTCTTAAATATATAAAACTTTAGTTTGTTCTCGATTAATGGATGACGATGAAATATCCAAACGTTCAGAACACATAAACAATGCCTAAATAAAAGTGTTATTTTCCCTTTTGTTCTCTCGTCCATCTACAGCTTTTATGTACACGAAAAACATTTTCCACTTTTTGTCTGCTTAATATTGGCTTACAATCCTTTCAATACTGGGATGTATTTTATTTCAGCATTCATCTTTAGAGTCTTAACCACATGTACGTTTTCCCACACTCAACATCGAACCTTATTTAATGTGTCGCCCCCTCATGGCACAGTACGGAATTATTTAAACAGCTCTATAATATTTTAAGTAACTAATATTACATCACGTAATTGTACACTGAGATTTCGTTCGAACAAATCGGTTAAACCTCAAGTTAAAGTACCTTTAGTATAAAAAAAAATGTTATTTATAACGTACAAAAGTGAAAAGATGACAAGAAGAAACATTTATTTTTTCCAAATAATACAATCCAGTATCCTGTTATACAATTTACATTATCATGGCTTTTTTTATATAATTTATTAAAATAAACTAAACAAGTTGTAATAACACGGCACTTTTCGTCCTGTCAATACTCTTTCAATAAATTAAATCGATAATGTTCGTAATTAACTAAAAACTAGTACAGTAGATCGTGGGCATAAGGGGGACGGAGAACATTGGGATCGAGGAGGATCCTAGGTTTCCAGGGATCAATATAACTGAAAGTGATGAAACTCTTCAATTTGAATCTATAGGTAATAAAAAATACTTGCAGGTAAGGTTATTAATTGCAACAAAATCATTGATGAAATATTTAAGTACAAATTAAAATATATGTTTTGTATCGGAGTAGATACGTTTAGGGTTGTTACAAAAAGCCGAATCGACAACATATAATGAACATTTTTTATTTACCTGTTGACTGTTGATTCACTCACATAGTCCAACATGAAAGTTCACCACAGTCGGTTTTGGGGTCTTCTTAGTAAAAAAAAAGTTCGATTGCCGATTTTAAGGAATCTGTTATAATATAGTCCCCGCTTTAGATCTACATTAAATTTTATTTTCAGACCTAAAAGCCTAAAACTACACTAAAAAAGCGAAATAAAGGAAAAGTGATCACCTTCCGTATTGATTAGTTTATATTTTTTTAGTTTGTCAATGTTTATCTGTAGTACTTTATCTAAATAATGTTCCATACAAATTTAGAATTTATTCGATTATTTTTAAAAAATGTATAGAGTCGTAATTTTAAATTGAAAAATCTGTATTATATTTGTTCGATTATGAAGGTACAAGGTGAGCTTTATATATACTTGACTAATGAAGTATCTTTTAGGTAAGATTTCTTGTACGATTAATCTTGCTACATAATGAAATTGGTTTAACGGCTTAGAAGATACAGTGTATTCAGACTAAAAAAAGCTATAAATACTTCATTGTAAAAACAATACCTTCTCAGTTCCGTATCAAAGCTAATAGTTATACATTTAAGTATTCCAATCATTTTCTAAAATTTCTGAGTACTTACTTAGTTTTTATATCGTTAAAATAGTATAGCATAAGTTTTATGGCGGTCACGATTAGAAAGTTTTTATTAGTTTGGGGAATTGTGTTTGTTTTAAATAATACTGTTAAGCAATTTCACATAACGTGGTGTACAACGAACAAAGACAAGCCGTGTAACTGTCAGGATAGAGGTTCACCCTACTTAACATAATCGGTGTATGTAAATACAGTATTACAAAAACATTGGTCTTTAGGTCTCTAGGCATTGGGTATCTAAAGGCGTTGGTAAATATTATATTTGGTAGTAACATACCCTTAAAGAGTACTATTTTTTGTACTCCTATTTACACAAATGATGTTTAAGTAAGTTTATATATTTTATGGAGTAAACTGTAGATTGTCGTATAAATTTGTTTAATGTAACATAATATTTTGTCCATGATAATAAATGGACACAACTAGGACTACTCTCGGTTAGCAAGGCCATACCAAAAATAAAAGTATATTACAATTACTCTAAATTATATGTTATAGTGTATTAAAGTATACTGCAATAATATTTATAATATGACTTCCAACAGACAACAATGTACCAGCGGTATTAAAATAAAAATGCTATATTTAGGAAAAAAATTATACTTAAAAAGCTACTTATTCCATTGCTTATCTTAAAAAACGTATTTTTGAAAGTATTTTAATTGTTAATTACGACACACAATTGTTAACTATGACACACGACTAACAGCTAACCTCTATTCGTATCCACTCTAAAAACAAAAATTTATATTTAAGCACATTATTGTCATTAGGTACAATGCTTTAATCGATATTTGCATTTCTACCATTACAGACTTGCATTAAAGCATTAATTTGAAAATGATTTTATTACTTTTAATTGTAATAATTCGTATAAACCTATGACATCCCCCACGCCAATATCACCGCACCTCTCCACTCTGCTCCGACCACAGTGTACTAGCTTTTTAGCATAACAGGAAATTGATTTTTGTTTCAGATATTTGGAGCCATCACCGCTATATTGCAGTTTGTGCTGCCGTTCCTAATTATAGCATTTTGCTATGTCCGGGTATGGCTCAAGTTAAACGACCGTGCACGGTGCAAGCCAGGTTCGTCGACGAAAAATGCCAGAAGAGAAGAGGTCGAGAGAGAGAGAAAGAGTCGAACTAACAGGTAAATTTGAATACTATAACGTTATTCAATTAGTAATCGATTTACATTTTTAATTTTCCCAATACACAAATGGGGTGGGCCGCTTGCATCCTCTTTATACCACTAATACCAATATTATAATTTATTAGCCATCTCGTGGATGGTTAATAATAATAATTAATACTTAGTCAATCAATATCCATTGACCTTCGTTGTTTTAAAAACACTGTTATCAAAAAAATACCCAACGGGTTTTTAGAATAACATCATTGAGAACACACAACTGCCATATAGGAAATATGATTAAAAATACACTAGTATAAGCGTGAACGCATCTACCAAGAAAATTGCACAAAAATATTATTTTCATGTCGACTTATTCATTGTTACCCGAAGCGGGACTGTTTGTATTTCAGTCCATTAAGTTGAGTTTTGTAAAGGGAAAAACTCGTGTACCGACTTGGATGATTTCCCATCGGACTCTTATATATTGTATATATTATTGTGTCGTTTATTTCGTGTTTACTAGATACTTAAGTTAAAAGCAAACTATAAATAATCAACAAATGACATTGCTCTGGCATGCGTATGTACGATGTTCCAGTTTCATATCCACTTTTGGACTCGTGCTATGTATTATACAGAAGAGATGCAAAAGAAAAAATATTAGAAAAAGAGACCGGGGTCATGATACAGCGGAAGGGTGAAATGAGCGAATTAAGAAGGGGATATTGTCATTATTATTATTATTTTCATCGTTTTCATGATTATTATATTACTAAACGTCGACCGTGACTGCACTCAAACTTATGATGAATAGCCGCTTACTACCGCCAAGTTGTTCCTACTGTAAATGTAATTTCCTTAGCTTTATATCTTTTTCGTAATAATAAAGACATATTCTCCTAAGCGTATTCAATATAATACATTATGTTTTTAAACTCTGACAATCTCGCTGTCACAATAATTCTGTGAAAACAAGCAATTTGTTTATGTAAATAGATCTATTGGATTACGTATTAAAACGTACAGTTACAAAATTAAATTGATACAATTATTCAAAGATGGCCAAAGCGATCCTCGAAATTCAGTATTTTTTAATTCTGAGAGTTTCTGAGTATCGGTATAAAAACGATTACGCCCATTGGCGCACGTTTATGATGTGGCGAACCCGAGGTGACCTCTGGGAGGATCCATCGGTAGTATCGTACATATATTGTTTGGGGCACATATATCACCCCACACATGGGACCAACTTTGCTATCATGCTTAATTCCACGGGCCGAATAATTGTAACGGCGGTATTCCCTTGGCATAACCGAATGGCATTGTAAAGCCGTCGTCACATTATCCTGCGTTTGATGACGTTTATACGGTGACAATAATATGATTGGCATTAATATTGCTTATATTGTATACACACGATTATACCGGTATAATTGTATAAACGTATAACGACACCATAGCACAATGGGGGTTTTGAATACTCCAACGGTGGATGTAAATCACTAATCATTGAAATACAAATTTTTATACCTATCCAATAAAAAAACTCTACATTTAATTTTTAAAGTAATCCAGTTTTGTGGCGAATACAGATTGAGATATATTTTTGATTAACATTCACTTTTTTTTTTAAGCATTTCTTTTATAAAATAATTTTAATTTTCATTGTATTTTATAAATTACATTGGGGATGTGATGTCTAAGTGAAATAAGGTAACTTCCGGCCATGTTTAGAGCAAGAAACCGTCTGTCCAGAGAAAGAAATAGTCAATCAACCTTCTCCAGTGCTCCTGATTACGAATTGATCTTTTCAGCAATCATTTTTCAAGTCGCCAGCCAGCTTATAGCTTATGAGTCGATACTTTGACTTAAGAGTGATCAACAAAACGTACAGTCATTAATTCTACTTTATTATTATTTATTTATATATTTAAAAGTTAAAAAAAAATATTTTTAACAATATCGGTAATTTATAAATGAGGTTCTTTAGTACTTGAGTACACCCTATTATAAATATTAGGTAGTTTAATTATAAAACGCAGTACACTAATACATTACAAACTTAATTTTAGGCTGCTTCAAAAGTTTTAATAATTTGCTTGGTAGGTATATTGTTTCTACGATAGAAAAAATGGTAATTTTTTTCAATAGCGTTAGTTGTTTGAACTATCGTTAATTGATAAAAATCATTAAATTTAAAACAATATCCAATTCTTTTACAGACAATTTTTTAGATTTTTGTACCTCTACTCATTAAAAATAAACTATAGAATCACAATAATGGTTTTGAGCTATATTATTTTATTTTAATTTCGCCAAGATACAAATATGTAAATTTTAATATGCCATATGGTAGAAAATTTTCTTCTTTGAAATATCATAAAAAGAATATGTACTCGGAGAAAAATTGTAAAAACCTATTGAATAAATTTAAAATATATTAAAACAAAACTTTAGTATAAAGCTGAAAAGATTTTTTATTTTAGTTATATTAAAAATTAATTGAAAATTCATTAAAATGTGCCATTATTTTTAAGCATCTAGGTATGGATAAAAAATAATGAAATATTTTACTAATGTTGGTTTGTCTTATTTTAACAAAATCGTTATCCCTAGCGTTGGGTTATTTTTTTTACACATATTATTTTGTAATTTGTAAACGTGTATTGTATTAAAATGTAATTATAAAATTTTATAAATCTGTATTGGAATTATTATTTTTCCCCATTAAAAAAAGCATTAGGTAAACAATATTCAATTTTAAGAAATAATAATATTTTTTAAGACAATTTTTATTAAACAGTTATATTTCAAACCTTTATAAAAAAACTTTTAACAGAATTGCCATCGAATAATAATGGAATTAAACTCTAATGTTTAGTAATGTATAACCATTTAAAAATAAATCAATAGTTTACATCTGTATAGCGATGCAAAAGTGCAAAGCTGTCAAGTTAAATAATATATTTTTATTTTGAACCTAATTGATAACATTAACGAGCAACTACGCCTCTTCCCGAGAAAATGTCACTGCAGTAACAATGATCGGACCGTTTATTTATTAATGTTATTATAACAAGATTTGAAAAAATATTTTTTACCCTGACATAGGAAATGAAACGACTTTTCCATTACTCGTATGTTTGTCTTTTTTTTTTTTTATTTGACATGCAATGTTTACTACACATTGTAAACGTACGGATAAAAAATATTTAAAATTTATTGTTTTCTTAGAAAACTCTCTCTTGGTTTACTTAGCGTAATCATTTTTTTTTTCCCACTTTTCACAGGATGTTGATAGCGATGGTGGCAATTTTCGGTGTATCCTGGTTACCGCTCACTGCCATCAACCTTATGAATGACTTCTACCTGCAGACTGCCTCCTGGAAGCACTACTACTTGTTCTTTTTCTCGGCTCACGCGGTTGCCATGAGCTCCACGTGCTACAATCCGTTCCTGTACGCCTGGCTAAACGAAAACTTCCGAAAAGAATTCAAACAAGTGCTGCCTTGCTGGCGAGATGGTATAGCGTACGGGACGGCTCGAATGGACTCGGGTCAGGGCCGACGTGGAAGGATCGGCGGTTACCGGTCGGAGAGAACTTGTAACGGCAACGACACATGCCAGGAGACTCTGCTGCCCACGTCCGTCGTCCTGCCATCTGGTCGCACCACCGTCACCACCGACTGCACGGGACTTGATTTAGTCGTAAGTACAGTACTTACTTACTTATCGAAGGCATTGCCGTTATGTATATCGTTGTGTCTGCCGTTGCGAGTACTGCGTATGGATTATACCGAACTCCATTGCCAATAAAAAAAACTATCGGGATCGCTGTGGATTAAACATAACCGTATACTTAAGTGACGGGCTTGGCGCCGTGTGCGATGGCGTTTTACTGAGTACATTATAATCAAACAACGGTTACCGTTGTAACAATTAAGCTCAACGAAACCCTTTTAAATCTCTATGTCATCCTAAAATGTTTACATAGTAATACTATTTTACAACACGATAGGGAATAAAAATACTAACCGTGATGTGATACACGGGTAAACTTCAAGAGGTTTAAGTTTTAAGTAGACACGCTTATACAGCCGAAAACTTGCGTTATCCGTCCAAGTCATTGGACGCTTCAGTGCGGTATTGTATACTATACATTATTCATACCGGCAACGAGGTACTCTATTTACAAACGCTTCTAATTCAGCTCGTTTAAAGACGTGGGTTAATTAAAACGATTGCTTGTAAAATATAGCAGGTACTCAAAGTCAACTGTCCTTCTGTATTCATTAAGAATAAATTTGAATAAACTCTGAATAACACCTACAAAACTCCGTTAAATTTGTTAAAAAATATAGTAGGATTTTTACACTCAAGTATATAATATTACATCGAGTATTATATTAACATGAAATATAAATCGTGTTTACCATGTTGTCAATAACATGTGTTGCTGCATATGACGTAAATATTTTGTGTTTAAATGTTATTTGTTACAACTAAAATCTGATTTTATGATTAATGTTAGACGTCGAATACTACAGCTCATATTTTATTTTTTCCTAAAAGCTCATTTACAATCTGTTTGATAAACACAACACACACATTTATTAAATGTAATAAGTAATAACCGTACAACGGTAGTAATACATATTAATTGTTATGAGCGTGTATTAGTTTAATACAATTTATAGCATAAAGTATAACACTTATTAAAACTACATTCATAAAAAACGTATTAAATGAAAGCAAAATAAATGTTATTGAAAATTACATTATTTTAGAATTTTGTGAAAACGGTTATAGTTTTGATACACAAACTATATACTTCTTCTTAGTAAACATATTGGAAGAATTAACTATCAATTGATTTTCAATTGAAATACACCTGTATAATTTTAAAAGATTCCTTAATAGCCATAAACATTATAATAATTTGCGTTTTTCAAAAGTAGAATATAAGTATTGGAAAAGTAATATAGACGAGGTAAAATAATACTTCAGAAAAAACGTAATTTATCATAATCATGAAAAGGTAAGAATTTATCATCATAAATACAAAGCTTATAAAAAGAGCAAGACGTAAATTATTGTTAATTCCTCTGAGAGAAAAAAAAGTAAATAATAATATAAACCGTGCTTGTACAAAATCTTGTAGAAAAAAACCTTGTTAAGGGTGGATTCTGGATAAAGTTACCGCGCTTCAAGTAAAATACGGAGGGAAAAACAAACACGCAACAGCTATGTATAGTATTATGAAAATGAATGTTTTTCTATAGATTAGATTAAAATAATTGTGTTATGCTTTTAGCACTACAAGAAAAATAAATAATAATTTAAAATTACAAGTAATTTAAAAACACTCTTCTTTTATGGAAATTAATTTTAAAATAAGAAATGTTCATTCTTTTCAGAGTTGAAAATCAATACTTAAAAAAATAGTAATTATAAAAAAGAAAATATTAAAAGCTACTAAATTCTCTACAAGTAAAGCGAATCGCATTTAAAAAAATGTAACATGAGTAAAGTTGAGTAAAATAATAGCAACGAAAATTAACTTTATCAACTATAATATTGAAGCATAAATCTCATAACGCAATAAATTAAAAATAACAACGTTAGTATGTGATGAATTTCTTATTTTAATAACATCACTTTAATTGTGTATATCTCATAATAGATCGCCATAATATAATATAGAAGCATTACAAAGCTTACCAAGTAATAGCTTTGTAATGTGACTATGGAAATTATACAAATTCATTTATATCCAATATCCATTTAATTTTACATAAATTTGTAGTATTTTTTTATATTAAGTAATATGTAAAAAGATAATGGATTGATATATTGTATTTATTGATTGAATTAAAGCTATGAGTTATATTTTTTAATTTATACTCGAAACAACAACAACAATGATTCGGAACAAACAATAAATAATTGCTAAAAGCTGTTGTTGAAATTTTAGAAGATTATTTTATTATAACTTTTCGAGATTTTAATGAATTTCATTAAACGGTATTTCCCAGTTTTCCTCTGTAAGTATACCGCAAGAACTTTGCACGAGGTCACCGAATTAAATTTAGTAGTTTAATTGCTTATAGAATAAGAAACTAATTATAAACTATTAATTATTTATTCCCTCTCTCTCCAACGACATTTAATACAGCTATATTTTCTTTACATGAATATTGCTTTATTCGGTCTGTATAATAAATAAGTATTATTACAAGTAGAAGTTTAAAAATAAAAATTTACATTTAAAAAAAAAATTAAAAATATATTGATTGCTTGAATATACAAGCTATTATCGTTGACATTATTCCATATTTCTCAGTGGCTGAATTTAATTACATTGTACAATAAAATGTAACCTTTTTTTGTAAAATAACCAAAATACGTCTGATTTTGTTCTTTTTAGTCTAATAGTTTGTTCATAAACACGTTTGTCCTCTCTGAACTCAATATCCTTGAACAAATTTTACATCAGTGTAACCATACAGGGTGTTCTTCTTCTTTTGTCATGGGCCACTCAATAAGGCATAGGATTTAATAAGACATTTTATTTTTATTTTTTTATTTAATGATTAATGTGATCTCAATTTTCCACTTATTGTTATGTTTCTACCTCCCTTACAATTTAGTTAAGAAAAATAAAATACTACACTCTTTCCTTTCCTCCTGCCCTAAACATAAAACTTTAATAACCACAAAAATAGTTATCCGAAACTAGTTATCGACTAGTCAAAATGTTTAGTATATTATTTAATTTAATTCAATTTAAAAGTTAATAATATGTATATGCTACCATTTAAAATTCAAGTTGGGAAGGGGGTAAAAACAAAAAATGTAGTGAAAAATTAAGATCATATTGTACAAAAACAATATGAAAAAAACGTTTAATTTCTTACTAAACCTTTTGAGATATTGGTTGGCTCGTGATAAAAGAATCATCCTGTATCTTATGATACAATATACCGTATGCATAGTAAATATGATAATAATTAATATTTAATAAACCTATATAGAATTTCAATTTTCAGTGTAGACATCGTTTAAGAATAATGCTAATTTTATTCCTTAACTTAGGAAACACTGTTTTCGTGGGAAAAATTCCTAATCAAAACAAATTAACATTGACTTCCGGTATAATCATTATTTTTTTGATAGTATTTGGTTAAATTAAGAACTACCCTAAAATAAAGCGTTAATATAGTAAACATTTTAATCGAAATGTCACAATTGGTATAATATTTATTTTCTAAATTATTATAGTGTATATTTCCCACATGGCATATTTATTCAAATGAATGAGGTCAGAAATGTTTTAAGACACTACATTATCAATATTTTAAAAAATGTAATAATATTATTTGTATTAACATAAAATACCAGTAAGCCTTTCATAAAAAAACAAATATTAGAGTGAGATAAACTTGAATATTAAAATACGCAGTATGAAGATCTATTAGATTTGTTACTTTAGTTGTTTAATAACTTAATTATTTGCGATTATAATTTGATAATACAAAGAAAATATAGAAAAAGCTCATTAAATATAGTAATTATTTTCTTATTCCCAACAATTTTTTGTTGAAGATATTCGCATAAAAAAAAGTTGTATAATTGAATAAGTAAAGTTGTTCATTACATACTTTTTTATTTTTACAAGATGATATTTTTACCTTCAAAGCAATTTTTAATTAGTTTTTCATTTTTCAATTACAGGAAAACTTGATTTAAAATAAGCTATGGGTATTATTTTTAATAGTGCAATAATAATTATAATCAACATTTTATTTTTAGTTTACTAAATTATTTTTTTTTAATAACAGACGCTTAAAAAAAGCCAGTACAGTGGGGTCGCAGCATAGTGGGGACGGAGAGGTCACAGGTCTACAGATTTTATTATAACTGAAAGTGATTAAATCACTTTTAAATAAACGCTTCGATGCGAATCTGTGGATAGTATGTTCAAACCAGTTATAGCGGTTTAGAAGAGATCGTGGGACCAGCAATAATGTAGGTACTTAAAATTTAATATTTAGTCTTGTGCAGGGTGGATACGATAAGGGTTGGTCGTCTGTCTATAAAAATGTACCCATTTATCGTAATTAACAATATAATGAAAAAATTTCATTTCCTGTTGACTGTTGATTCACACACAAATAGCAACCTAGAAACTGACTACGGCCAAAATGTAAATTTACCCTATTTTTGGGGTTTTTCCTTAATAAAAAAAAATACACGAAGAAATCGGTTCAGCGGTTTACGAGATATCGTGGGTCCAGACACAAAAAAAAAAATAATAAAATAAAAACACATCATTGTAAAAACAATACCTTCTCAGCTCCGCATCGAAGCTAAAATGTATATATTATGTTAATTTAAAGTATCATTTTTTATGGATAGGTTACAATATGTTATAATTAGTCACATGAACATGCTAATTTGGCATGGTCTGCTTATGATTGCCTACAGTTACTATTAGTAATAATTTTACCATTTAGCAAAAATGAGTTACCAAGTCACCAAAATAGGAAAATTTCATTTAAGTATTATGCGAACAATGAATTCAACGTTTAATTAATTTAAGTAATAATTCTAAATTTTATTGACTTTTACAATATTTTTAGTTAATTGAAACGTTAAAATAATTGGTAAAAAAATATAATTTGTTAACTAAAATGGTCATTAGTTTT